CATCACTTTGGGAGGCTGAGGCAAGTGGATTGCCTGAGTCCGCAGGTTCAAGACCAGCCTAGGCAACTTGGCAAGACTTCGTCTCTACAATAAATAAAAAATTAGCCAGGTGTGGTAGCATGCACCTGTAGTTCTGGCTATTTGGAAGGCTGAGGCAGAAGGATCGCTGGAGCCCAATAGGTCAATACTGGGGTGGCCATGAATGAGACACTGCACTCCAGCCTGGGCAGTAGAGTGAGACTACAATTTTTTAAAAAACAAAAATTAAAATTAAAAAAAGGCCACACGAAACATATCCAAGGGCCAGCTCTGGCCCAAGAGCAGAGGTTCACAAAGCCATACCTTACAACCATGTATACTGAGAATGTGTGGGGTGTGGAACCCTGTCTGTCCTGAAAAGTGGCTCTGTGGGGAGGAGACCCTGAGGAGGGGAGGTCTAGAAGGCTCAGCCAGACCCTGCTTAGCCCCTGACAACCACTGGAAATGGAGGCCATCCTGCCTTCTGAAGGCAACTGATTCCTCTAGAGGCTACCCAACTCTCCAGCTGGTGTGGCCCAGCCTGCCGAGCCTTCAGGCTCCCCAAAGACTAAAGCTGGCCAACTGCAGGCTGGGCTGGAAGGGGTGCGGTATCCCAGGGCTCTCCGGAAGTCAGGAGCTGAGCTGGGTCCCCAAAGGCTCTGAGGCACAACTGTGACCACAAATACAGAGGGGGAGGAGGGCAGAGTGTTTTCCTGGAATCCTCCAAGGCAGGGGATTTTTCTGGACTAGTCCAGCCCCTGGCGCCTGCCCCTTCTGCCCAATCAAGGGCCACTCAACTGCAGCCCAGTCCCCACCCACTGCCAGTGAGTCCCCCCTTTCTGGACCTGAAGCTGCCAGGAACTGTGAGGAAACCATTACTGCCCTTCCTCTGTCTCAGTCCATTCATCTATATGGGGATAAAGGGGTTCAGGGATGCTCACAGCTCTGAAAGCCGTCATTGCTGTAAGGGCCCCAAACTCAGATTTGGCAACAGTTTGTACTTCGGAGGCTCT